TTCGCAGTTATCTAATAGAATAGCTGCTAATGCATTTGAGCCAATTTCTAATTTATTTAAGTACTTTTCACTCCACTTTCTCATTTCAGTTTTCACTGTGATCATTTGGAGATCTTTGTGGATCCTAGAGTTATTTATAGACCTGAAAGTTTTCGAAAGGAAGGGCTGGAGTATTTCAATGTTGAAATTTGAGGCTGTCACCCACAGCTGAATTCCTAAGTCCAGATGGGTTCGAGCACCGCTTTTTAAAACAGTAGTTTGCTTTCTACTGATAGCGCTGATCTTCTCCCGAATAGCCAGTGCACTTTTTCTCTTTCAGATTGAGCTGGCTTTATGTGACTTTGATGCGCCTTGTCCATGTCAGGCCTCTATCAAGATGCATGCCAGGGCATTTCACTTCGCTCCTTTGTGGTACAGCAACACTGCCACTTGCACTGTCGGACAGGTTTGATTGTGCAGGGTGAAAGAAATGTACGTGGATTTGTATGATTGACTTTAATTCTCCATTTCTTTGCCCGTTCATTAATCTTGCTGATGTTGTCTTGAAGTTTCACTGAAGCTATCACTTGTTCTTCATGTGTTACCAATCCTGCTGTATCATCGGCAAAAGTGGCAGTTGTTCTGCTGTCTGATGTAGGTAGGTCACTTGTGTAGATAACATATAGGATGGGCCCTAAGACACTTCCTTGAGGTACTCCTGCTTTAATTTTTCTAAATTTTTTTGGTTTCATCTTTAAGTTCCGCTTTAAATAGTGCCTCTTTTAAATACGATTCTAAGGTTCTGTACGGGGGAAGGATTTTTCTAATTTTGAACAATTCTTAATGTCACACTTTATCAGACGCTTGTGTGCCGCAGAGCACTGCTGTTTTTTCCTTAAGTTCCTCTCATTATCTCTGCAATTTGGTGTACTTGTTTCGATGGTAAAGTGTTGCTCCCGAAATCCAGGAAGATTCAGTTTTCTTCTAGTATCGGACGTCATCTCTTGAGCATAGCTGTCTCGAAGACTTTGCTCGTTACTGGGAGTAGGCTGACCGGTCTATATGAGGTAACTTCCTCTGGCGGCTTACCCGGTTTCGGAATCATCATGATCTGAGCGACCTTCCACTGAGCTGGGAAGTGTCCCGTTAGATAAATGTATGAACATAAAAGAATACATAAAACAACATATTTAACGTTAAAGACACCACAGAATAAAAAATGTGAGGGATTTCAATTTCCTCACAGTGATGGTTACGAAGAGTTCTATATTCTGGGACATATCGCCATGTACAATAATAGTACGTTGAATGACAACCGACGTTTCCGAGGAACACGTAGCCTCAACCTTTAGCGTCAAAAGAGTTTCCCAAGCAAGATATCAGCATGAAGCAGGTAGACTGCAGAACTCTGTTTACTGTCTACTTCATGCTGATTTCTTGCTTAGTAGCTCTGAAGATGGAGGCGACCTATTCCGCTGAAACGTCGGCTGATCTTCAACAGATTGTACGATGTTATATCCCGTAAGTCAGATGTATACTTTCATATACGCGAAAGTTATTAATTAAAGTAATTAATCCGACATTCGCACTCACACGGGAAGGTCGTTAGTGTGATCTCTAGCACTGTATATCATCGGCTAGTTTTTTCGGGTGTGGAAGAGCAAAATGTTATGCTCATAAACAATCGCCAAGTTGGGCATCAGCAAGACCAGATCTGTTCCCTGATTCACAATGTCCATGGCTGAGAATAGTGACTCGCCCAGGTACGCTGCAATTTTAAGGAAGAAAACGTTTCTCGGTCAGCCCGATTCCAAACCTTCTCATGTGTTGCGTAGGATTTCTGACGTCTCATCTTGAAGGTCCAAAATCTTGAGTTCCAGTTCTTCTTCCATTGCCTAAATGAGACTTCCAATGGATGCAGCAGTTTCTGTCACATCCATCTAGCAAGTGAAGAAAGCTACCACCGGCACAATGATGGTGATCTGCTCAAATATCTTTTCAAAATGATCCAGGCTTCCACTGGAATCATCGACGCTATCTAGTCCCAATGAAAATAGCATCATTAAATAACCAACTTAAAACAATAACAACAACAACAACAAGAAGAAGAAGAGCGAAACAGTTCCATGATGCACAATCCTCCTCCAAGTACTAACAGTCGCTCAATTAATCTAGTAATTCCCAACTTCTTACAGAATTCGAAGACCCATTACCGTGTTCACAAGACTGATCCAAATGAATCCAGTCCACACCCTCATATCCTATTTCTGCATACTGCATTTTAATACTGTTCTACCATCTAAGCAGAGATCTTCCAACAGATATCTTGCCTACAGGTTTTCCGACCAACTTTTGTACCCATTTCCCATCTCTCCGCCCACTTCCTTCTCCTTCATTTGATCATCCTAGTATATTTAGTTGTGGAAGACCATATGGTTGTGAGATGTCGAGGCTCAAACATTTTCTAGAAAATCGGCTCACAGATGACGGTGAAGCTGTCAGCTTTACGCACCGGCCGCCCTTTGCCCCCCAGGAAGATTCCTAGTACTCATTTCTGTTAGAGGCTGAGTCGACACCAGGGTCGTAGTGCGGCTTGCGTAGTTGTCACTAGAAAAAATCCAATGACATCGGGAATCGAACTCGCGACCTTCCGTCTTCTAGCACAGTGCTCCAACCAAAAACGCTACGGCGTGTCCCCTAATATTTAGTGAAGAGTTAAAATATTATTCTCCAATCTACGCTTAGATTATCCAAGAGTCCTCTTCCCTTTCGGGTTTCAAACAAAAACGTACATTTATTTACTTCTCCAATGCGTAAGCATGACTACTACATGCCCTCATTCATATCACCTTTCGTGATTTAAGCATTCTGACAATATCCGGCAAGGAGTACAACTTATGAAGCGAATAACAATAAGAACAACAGCAACAAGTCTGTACATTTATTCATACGCCTGACAACATCAAGGAAACTAATTAGAGGCAAACACTCAACGACATAAGCAGTGTACATTTAACTCCGTGCCCTGCAGCCCGCAAAGCGAACTATAACGACCGCGCGAACGCCGCTTATCGGCGAAGTTAGTGCCAGCTTTCACGGATAGAGGTGTTACGTGGTCAGCTCAACGGATCTCCACGGCCGTTAATCTCGTTTTTCTAAACCGGAACCGCTATTTCCTTGAAATAGCTCCTCAGTTATCCTCACGAGGCTGAGTGGAACCCCGTTCCAGACCCAATACTTCTCAGAAAACCTGGCAGCGCCGGGAATGAAACCCGGGACCTATGGATCTGTAGCCAGGAACTCTGACCACTAGACCACAGAGGCGGTAAGCAGTATACATTATAAGATTAATCTTGAAGATATCCATTGAATCATGAAATGACGTTTTTAAAAATATTGTGACATGTCGAACCGTTGCTGGGCAACGGGATGTGGAACGAGTTACCACGAAGACAGACTCTGAATAAACGGTCGGTTGTCGGGTTGCGCAACAGTGGAAGCGAGGTTACACAACAGTAAGGAAAGCGGTGTGTCTCCGTGCAGTGCCTAACCGAGCCGAAGCGCGCTGGTTGCTACGCAGCAATAAGCAACTCTCGGCAGCGTTGCCCAGCAACGCCTGTAAACACGGCGTTTATGCAACAGTGAAGCGAGATGGGTTTTCCGCTATCCGACTGAGGGTTTATAAGGGAGACTGGAATGCGTAAGCAGTGAGTTGAAATGTAGCAGCCGCCGAAGCCAGTTAGTATTCGGAGTATGAGTTGAAGTCCAGCAGCTACAAGTTGTTATTGAGTTGTATCGAGTGAGTGGAAGTGACTACAGCAGGAGAAGTAATTGTGATACTGCAGATGGCAGTAATTGTGAAATTGTAAATTGTGTAAATGTAAGCGCGAATGTGGAATACGAGTAAAATAGCTAGATCAAAAACGGCGTGAAGTTATTTGTCGCGTGACATACCCAACACGTGACAATATCAATGAGAATAGGGCATCACAATAACCCCAACTGGTGATGTTATTTGTCGCGTGACATACCCAACACGTGACAATATCAATGAGAACAGGGCATCACAATAACCCCCAACTGGTGAAGTTATTTGTCGCGTGACATACCCAACACGTGACAATATCAATGAGAATAGGGCATCACAATAACCCCAACTGGTGATGTTATTTGTCGCGTGACATACCCAACACGTGACAATATCAATGAGAACAGGGCATCACAATAACCCCCAACTGGTGAAGTTATTTGTCGCGTGACATACCCAACACGTGACAATATCAATGAGAATAGGGCATCACAATAACCCCAACTGGTGATGTTATTTGTCGCGTGACATACCCAACACGTGACAATATCAATGAGAACAGGGCATCACAATAACCCCAACTGGTGATGTTATTTGTCGCGTGACATACCCAACACGTGACAATATCAATGAGAATAGGGCATCACAATAACCCCAACTGGTGATGTTATTTGTCGCGTGACATACCCAACACGTGACAATATCAATGAGAACAGGGCATCACAATAACCCCAACTGGAATGAACTGTTGACAGATTCACTCTAACATAGGCAAAGACTAATTAAGCACTATGCCATGAAGGCGTATGGGGGAGTGGATTTATAGATCCACATTTTCTTGACCTTGGCACTAGGTGGTGAGTGGTTATCTTCACGTCCCGGCCGCTTTACCCCCGGGGAAAGAGCCCCGGTACCCTTTGGATAGGAGGCTGGGTGGACTCCGGAGCCGGTCTGGAAGACGTGGAGAAAATTCTTGACCCTAACGGGACTCGAACTCCGACTCCTCGGTCGTCCAGCCCGTAGCTAGTCGCTATACTTACTAAGCTATCCCGGCTCCTACTCTAACTAACATGCCTTCATATACTAGTATACTGTCATACTAAGCCATTAACAATCTGTTGTAGTATGAAGCTGGAAATTTTCTTCAAATTCTGTCAAGCTACCATCTCAATTGCTCGACGTGTGTAAACATAAGTTCGTCTAAATAACTTACCCCGCTTGCGATGAAGACAGGCAGGAAGATCCACCCTAGCACCTGAAGTAGTATCAAAGCCTGCAAAAGAAAATAAATAAATTATGAAATGCGTTCATAACGCAACTATTCTGTGACGTTCGCTTCCTCCTGTTTATCTGGAAGGAAATTTTAAATTTTAATAAAGTAACGGTTGTAGCAGCACGTTCGATTAGATTTTAATTAAATATACAATTATCTACAAGTTACATATAGGCCTATAAATACAGACTGGAAGAAGTTTCATGTATTTACTATGAAAAATAAACATCGACAATGTTCGTGTGTGCCGAAAATACAAGTCTGGATGTATAGGAACAGCTTAACGACTGTGATGCATGAACTCCTTTCTGGTTAACGGTCTCGGAAACTAAGACTTACGGGAAGACTATATTTTACATAAAGCATATGTTTCATTCTCCTGTATATCTTCTATTCGAAACATTTTGCGTTCCGATGAATATTTAACGGGTTAAGCTGGAAGTTTTGGCAGAACGTTCGTATGTCTTCATGTAAAACGTGCATAATCTTTGTTCGATTTTAATAAAAACCGAATGTGTTGGGCAAACTTTTCTGAAACTCTTCAATACAGAATTGTGTACAAATCCGTTTAGCGGTTCTCGATTTGGACTTGATTATCGAATACTTTCATGCATGCAAAGGAAGAAAGAAACACTTTAATATGCGCTCTGAAAGGACGAGAACACTTGTTCTGTAATGTGTGTCCTAAGAAAACAGGAACAAAATAGGTAAACGTAACAGCTTGAAAATAACCGAATCTAGCATTCCTTTTTTATTAAATCAACACAAAAGAATATTCCTCGGGAGTAAAAGACGGCTGGCATGTAAGGCTGATAACCTCACCGCCATCTGTGAAACGATATTCCAGAAAATGTGGAAGCCTCAACGTCTCACGACCTTATGGTTCTCCACGGCCTATTGCAGGGATAACCTTATTATTCTTATTTAGTTTTGTAACAATTATAAATTATAAAAGACAAGTCCGTCCAATGTGACTATTTCAGTTTTCTCACTTGATGATTCACTAGCCTTACATGTTTCGATCCATTTGGATCATCTTCAGAGGCACCAAACACTTTTTAGAAACCACTATCACAACAGTTGTCATATCAAATACACATGTAATGTCCAAGTACACAATGTTCCATCTATCACTCACAGCAGCCTTTCTGGTTACAGAAATATTTAAAGTTGTTTTAAAGTTTTAAAACTCTGTTAAAAATTGAAATACATATACCATACGGTTCGTGTCAATAACCCCTGTCGTCTCTCTTCAAGGTGGCCAATGTTGTGCCTCCTATGTAACTTGAGTAAGGAGATTCTTAATATTGTCCGTTATGATTTCTTGGCCCGCTGTGCTGTGTATACTAGTTTTGTAATTTTACCGTTTCGGTTGAACGAAAGAGACTCCCCACACCTCCCCTTCCAGGCCGTGAAGTCACTGGCAAAAGCAAGCGTAACGGGGGCCCTGAACCACAATCGTTACGTCAGTGAATTTCGTTGTCGTTGTATGACATCTTTTGCTCACTGGTCGTTTCACCGGTCAGGCAGGGACTGCCTGATGGCAGGAGGAAATTATGAATTGTTAAATTTATGGCGGGATGTGTACCCCAGTGACGGTTTTCTTCAGTTTCATGACATTCTGTTATTAATTGTGCCTACTTACTGGAGAAGTTGGTCTATTTTTTACTGGAGGGAGGGGGTGCTGGTGGTAGTGGAATTTATCGACGTCCGTGCCGGCACTTACGTTTGTTCTGGCCCTCTTTGAATTAATGATTGATATAATCCTAAAATTTGGAAAATGTAAAAATACTTTTTTGACTATGAGAAGCTTAGTTTTGCTACGGTTGGACCAGCGGGACACAAGCTGTCCTACATGGCCGCCGTCTTATTACAACTGCAGTGTTTTTCGGGAACGTAACCTCCGCGGTTCGTGACGTACTGTACTTACCTTACCACGTCTGTCACAAGAGGTATCGGATGGGAATGATATCTAGGCTTCAAGGTAACGCGTCTCACTTTACAATAAAATGATTCTGAACGAAACAAGAAGCTCTACTGAAGGTTTCTGCAATGTTCGTTGATTCCGCAAGACAAATCCGATATAGGCCACCTCATAAAAGCTGACCCAGTCACCCTTTTCCGTGTTTCTTCTGATCTACTACCCCTAACTGTATTTGATCACGAAAAAAATCATGAATTGTGACGAAGAAGAAATGTGGGAAGGTCATTAATGAGATGGACGGTTGGTTCATGTTCAAGGAAATAGCGGCTCCGGCCTAGAAAGCTGAAATTAACGACCGTGGAGATTCGTTGCGCTGACCACGCGACACCCTCTATCCGCTAAAGGTGGCACTAACTTCGCCGACAAGCGATGGTCGCTCGGTCGGTATAGTTCGCTTGCGGACTAAAAACACGGAGTTCTTGTTTTGTTTTTTTGTTAGTATCTAGAAGTCATGCGTATATAGAGTAGGGTAATTGTGGAAACTGACAGATATGGAAGGACGCGGTCATGGCCTAATCCATTCCGCCATGTGTCTGGAGGGGATGAGAACAACTCCAATCAGGGTAGTCGCTGTCCCGGTGAGATTCTAACCGAGACCTCCTGAATACACGTCTACAGTGTTCCTGCTGCACAGATCAGCTCGTTGAGATGCAAAATCAAGACCTTAGCTAACGGAACGGGCCTGACGGCCCAATCCGTGACACTGACAAGGAAGAACTGTGCCCCCATATATCGACTCGAAACATATATAAATATGCCCAAGTACACAGTCAACTAACCGATCACAGTGCCCGTGCGGTGTAAGGCATGAACTGTCTTCATTCGCTCGAAAGCTGGGATTGTGGGTTCGAATCCCACTCAAGGCATGGATGTCTCTGTGTGTTTGTGTTGTACTGTGTGTAGGCAGCGGGCTTGTGACTGGCTGATCACTCATCCGAGGAGTCCAACCGTCTGTGTAAAAAAAAACGAACTGAAGCAACCAACAAAGGGTCGTAGAGCCAATGATGAATGAATGAATGAATATAATCAACTAATCTGTAGGCGAAAGATACTCGGTTCAAATCTCGATAAGTGTATCAGCTATCCCTTCTGAAGATTTACGTAACTACTTCCTCCATCATATTTGGTTCAAATATAATCGCGAACGGGAACTTTGTGGTTGTCCTCAGTTCCTCCAGGCAAACGCCGGGATAGTACATCAAACTATATGGCGACAAATTCCTACCACATCCTTTTGTATTAATTATTAACTGATCATTTTACCATTCTGTCCTCTACAATCTGACACCGTTGTTTAATAAACCAGAAATAAATAAGTACAGGAACATGTATTTTCGACGACATCTATACATATTTAATTTAAATACACAAAATAATTATCTATATAAGACAACGTGTTAACATGTGGAGCAGACGGAAAGACTCCCAAAATCCAACGAAGTCTTCTCGAACGATCGGCCACCACATCATTCCTTGACGTCAGAGGCAGAGGCAGTCTCCAAAACTTTCGTAATTCTTACCCTACTGACATAAATAAATGTTTTTTATTGCTAATGGGGTACTAAGTCCCTTGCACTGTGGCCACTTCTGGCATATTATACCAGCCCCAGATGATAGGTGAGGGAGACTGTGGAGCAATTGGTGGAATGAAGATTGGCAGGGGAAACCGAAGTACTCGGAGAAAACCTGCCTCAGCACCACTTTGTCCACCACAAATCCCACTTGACTAGACCCGGGATCGAACCCTCTAAATAAATGTTACTCACATTCAGTTCAAAGGCTCCGACAGCAATACCCGCGGCAGCCCCAGAACCAGCCAGGCCTATGAAGTGCTCGCTGCCGATGTTGCTGGCAAACAAGGAGGCACCAACCTGCAAGAAGAGCAAATCTTTAAGTTTTATACAGTACTTGTGCAGGACAGACCCACAGACACACCACCACCGAAACACACGGCCTATTCTGTATGCCTCACTATCCATATGAACGGGGCCCACTGGTAACTATGGATTTAGACCGAACCGTGCATAACTTGGGCTCACTGCAGAGCCTGGGCTCAATCCCAAGTAACCTTGTATGAGATTCGTGTTGCAAAAATATGAACTGAAGCAGTCTGTCTACGAGTTACCTCGGCTTTTCGCCTAATTTTAGGGCTTCATCTCAGACCCCGTCCTTGTCTGGTTACAAAGTACGGAAGTTACTTATGGGTTTTGATTAAAGTCTTCTGAGTTACAACACCGTGTGTCTGGTAGGTGGCTACCGACGTGTAGGAGGAACTTGCTGCGTCCGTCTTCATATCAGTGACTTGTACCCTGAAAATGGAGGGAACGTGTTTCTATAAAACACCGATAATCATTTATGAGGTTAGAAAGCTCATACGCTGAAAACTAAACTACTTACGACGGCAGAAGTCTTCTACCCTGAAATGGAAACTGTTATAGTCTTATGAAATATCGGTAACAACCCATAAGAACACAAGGTTTATGCCCTGCATAGCCCGTCCCTGTAGGGCATAAACCTTGTGTTCTTATGGGCCGCGCCATAGCTCAAGCGGCTGGCTTCCACCGCGGCGGCCCGGGTTCGATCCCGGGTCTGGTCAAGTGGGATTTGTGGTTGACAAAGTGGCGTTGGGGCAGGTTTTCTCCGAGTCTGTTTCCCCTGCCAATCTTCATTCCACCAACTGCTCCACAATCACCCTTACCTATCATCTGGGGCTGTTAACAATAGGCCAGAAGTGGCCGCAGTAGAAGGGACTAAGCCCCCACCCCACTAGAAATAAAAAAAACGCTTGAGCTATGACACGGCCCAACCTTCAAGATACTCGACACTCTTCATTTCAACAAAGCTTTAGCGTCAACTTTTGGGCCGGAATTGTAGACGCTTACTCATGTGAGCCAAAAGTGATAGCGAATCGTCTCGGTGGAATCCAGTACGCTGACTCTAACATTTCCCCTTTCATTGGAAAATGTACCTCTGAATGTTCAAGAAGGCACGTCATTTCAGCATGAAGGCGCCAACTCCGCCCTTTCACGTCAAGTGTGCACTTGGTTAACAACCATTTCCCCCAGACACATGGTTCGGTACTGAGGGTCAAATCGTTTGCCTTCTACATCCGCCTGGTCTGAACTCACCTAATTTCTTTCCCTGACGAGGGTTATCAATTGCGACGATCTACCAATCACATCCTGGTAGCTATGACATATTACGGGAAAATCGACAACTGATTCGTATCAAGGACTCCATTCGACGTCACTCTGAAGTGTGCGTGAGACCTGGAGGTGGTAACTTTCAGAAGATATTTGTATACCTGTATCTGGCTCCACAGTGCTTGCTTAAGCAAATATGCCACAATATGAATCTGAGTGGAGGAAGTGACATGGGGTTGGAATGAATTACATAATAAGGAGTTTCATAACTTGTACTACCCACAGAATATTATTAGCATGATCACATTAAGGAGAATGATGTGGGCAGAGCATATAATACACATGAGAGATGAGAAATGGATAGTAAAGCTGGCCGGAAAATCTGAAGGCAAGATATCTGTTGAAAGACCTAGACATGGGTGGCTGAATCTGGCTCAGGATGGAATCGAATTGCGGGATCTTGTGAATAAGGTAACAAACATATGGGTTCCATAAAAGGCGAGGAAATTTCTTGTCTAGCTGAGCGACTATCAGCTTCTCAAGTAGAGCTCTATACTGTGAAATCAGATGATAAAGTAGGATGCAGAACACTGCATTAACTTACCGGAAGCCAATGCATGTAACGCCCTGCCAGGAAGTAGCCACTCAGAGTGTTCCGGTTCGGACGGCATGCCGACTGAAAGAAACAGAAACACATGTTTAATGCACCTGTGCGTATTTATTTATAATGTTCTTCAGGGCGCTGTCAATACCTCAGACAAGATGGCGCCGGATAGCAGGACTAGTGGTGAACGAAGAAACTGCGTCTGACAGAGTCCTAATGCAAAGGAAAGCTGCTGCCACTACATGCACTGATACTCAGTCACAGAACGAAGGACTGACTAACCTCCACATGAGGCGCTATTTATTATTTTCTCATAAGCCTATACTATCCACCTACTGCCGAGTCAAGAATGGTGAAGCCATACCTCCAATCTCCCATGCGTCTTCATGGCGCTGTGCTTAATCATTAAGCGCAGGGACTTCCCCTTTACCGAAGAGGGATGAAGTGACAGGAGGTTGCAGAAAACTGAATAATGAGGAGCTTCATAACTTGTACTCTTCTCCAAATATAATTAGAATGATCAAGTCAAGGAGGATGAGGTGGGCAGGTCATGTAGCACGAATGGGGGAGACGAGGAATGCGTATAGGATATTGGTGGGAAAGCCAGAAGGAAAGAGACCACTGGAAAGGCCAAGGTGTAGGTGGGTGGACAATATTAGAATGGATCTTAGAGAGACAGGATGGGATGGTATGGATTAGATAGATGTGGCTCAGGATAGGGACCAGTGGAGGGCTCTTGTGAACACGGCAATGAACCTTCGGGTTCCATAAAATGCTGGGAAGTTCTTGAGTAGCTGCAGAATTGGCGGCTGCTCCAGAAGGGCTTAGCTCCATGAGTAAGTAAGTAAGTAAGTAAGTAAGTAAGTAAGTAAGTAAGTAAGTAAGTAAGTAAGGGAGTTCACATTTTACCTTTACATGTACCGGGTATATACGAGCAAGCATTACAAGATGGCGAAAAAAAACTGAAAAAATTGTACTAATTTACACATTTTCAGCTCTCCTGAATATGAAAAATTGGTTTCAAGTGTTCCATCTGTATGTATGTATGTATGTATGTATGTATGTAAGGATTTATGGACGGAGGAATGGATGGATGGATGTGCTGACGGACGGACGGTTGCTCAGGGACGATTTGGCGGATTCTATTCATATCCGGCATCAAAGAGTTCGCCCATACGTCAGTGCTCGAAGGATATAAACATTCAAGCTTCAAAAACGGAGACCCTTCATACGGGACCCAAAAAGTAAAATGGCGATTTTCTCGGAAACGGCTGTGATACTTTTGCTTGAATTTCAGCAGTTTGTGGAGACCATTTGCCTAAATAAAACTGCTTAGGCGGCATCTTCTGAAAAAGAAGACTAACGGGACGCGCACCAGGGGCCCAAATATTTATGTAACGCCTGAATATCCTAACTTCCACATTCACTGACCAATAATGGTCTACCGAACAACAATACAATTCAGTTCTAAAGGGTTCTGACGATAGTGTATAACACTCGGAATTACTGGGTTTTTGGACTTTTTCCAACGTCCGGTATTCTAGAAAACACGACGTTTCGGAAACTGCATCTACTCACTTGGGTCTCTCAGAAAGAGTGACTGAGGTAAGCTCTTTCTAAGGGACCCAAATGAATACGTGTCTTCCCACCCTCACCTAAGGACGGAAACAGATCAAGTTTCCGAAACTTCGTGTTTTCTATTTTCTAGAATACAGGACGACGGGAAAAGCCCCGAAAACCAGTCATTCTGAACAATCTACTTCGTTCCTAAGGTAACGCATTAAGGTCAATGGTAGGAACAGGATAGCTCAGTCAGTAACGACGAAGCCTCTTGAGCGGGCGACCGGGGTTCGATTCCCGGCGAAGGAATTTTTGGCCGCGCCATAGCTTAAGCGGTTAGTCGCTGGCTTCCCACTGTGGCGGCCCGGGTTCGATCCCCGGTCTGGTCAAGTGGGATTTGTGGTGGACAAAGTGGCGCTGGGGTAGGTTTTCTCCAAGTACTTCGGTTTCCCCTGCCAATCTTCATTCCACCAATTGCTCCACAATCACCCTCACCTATCATCTGGGGCTGGTACAATAGGCCAGAAGTGGCCGCAGTACAAGGGACTTAGTCCCACCCCACTAGCAATAAAAGAAATAAGGTCAATGGTATATCAGAACGCATGCAAATGTTTTTCTACTAACGGTTTCTTAAGGAAGGGCAGTAGGCTAATTGAATCTACAATTCAGTTAATGTGACGCTATTTTTGCACCTCATATACCCAGGCAGTGCCTGTGGAACTTTACGTGAACAACTGGCTCACAGCCAACCAATTTACTGTTTGAACTGCACCCGCTCACGTATGTATGTGTCCGCATGCATACGTGAGCGTGAGCGTATGTATGTGTCCGCATGCATACGTGAGCGTGAGCGTATGTGTCCGCATGCACACGTGAGCGTATGTGTGTCCGCATGCATACGTGAGCGTGAGCGTATGTATGTGTCCGCATGCATACATGTGCGTATGAAGAATTACACGTGGTTTATTTAGTTACGCTTTCGGTTACTAGGGTTAGCTTATATAATGTAGAATGACAAAATGACCAGAGAATGAATTGGAAAGGACTTGCATGGATCATGGCCCAATTTAAATATTACCCTTGAACTGATTTGGAGGGACTGAGAAAATTCACGAAGTCCACAGCCAGGATAGCCGATCTCGGGGCAGAGATTTGAAACCGGAACCTCCTGAATATGAAGCAGGGGTGTTAACCACTCCACCACGACAGTCTTGTGTGTGTGTGTGTGTGTGTGTATGCAATTTGTAAACAAATGAAACATATTGTAGTTCCATATGAATAGTGCTCCCGGATCCAGGAACGAATACAGTCCAACAGAATCATTTTAGACGCCCAGAGAAATTACCTCAGGATTTGGCAGTCCTTTCTGGAATCCCGAGGCCAGTTAAAATCTGTGCCTGTTTCTTTTGTGCTTTGCTTCAGTCGCTGCAGATACATATCCAGTATTATATGCAACAGTTCGACATCTCCATACTTAGTCCTCTGTAATTCTTAAATAACACACGTAACCCTTGCATCAGTCACCATATGGGATGAAGTACGGAACTAATATGTCACTGAGAAAGAAACATATTTCAAACAAAACAAGTAAAGCTTGCATCAGCGATTTATACAGAATTACGCAGAATCGGGGGGGGGGGGGAAATCACCGTGAGAGGCTCAAAGATATATCGCAAAGTTCATTATAAACAACAACTAAGAAGTAATCTTCAGTTAAATACACGAAGTTCATCTACAAATACATGAAAGTTCAGCTCCTACAAAAACAAAACAAACTCCGTGGCCTGTAGTCCGTAAGCGAATTATACCGACCGAGTGACCACCAACTGTCGGCGAAGTTAGTGCCAACTTCTGCGGATATAGAGTGCCGCGTGGTCAGCGCATATCCAAACGGCCGTTAATTTTCTGTTTTCTAGACTGGATATGCTATTTCCTTGAAATAGCTCCTCAATTATCCTCACAAGGCTGAGTGGACCCCGTTCCAGACCCGCTAATTCTCAGAAAATCCTAATAGCGCCGGGAATCGAACCCGGGACTTCTGTATCTGTAGCCAGTAACTCTGACCACATGACTACAGAGGCGGTCGAAAGTTGAGATACTACCTCACAAAAGTCAAAGACCATTCGGTTAATGCTGTTTGGAGTAATAATCGCTGTTTATTCGAACACTCATAAGAATCACATATATATGTATATTATGTGGACAAAATGTAGAGTTTCAGAACGTTAAAAGAGGCCATATATACAATAACTGCTGTGCTCTAAAGGGATAAAATTAATATTCCGAAAGCTCACCACTCTCGAGTGACCTAGATGGATTATGATCCAAGAGTGGGAAATTAAATAATTCCGTGTAATATGCGGGGTTCTCGCGATGGTGAGCTTGAGGAATACTGTCCTATGCCATGTGACGTAGTGCAGGTTGGTAATTCACCAACGTTTCGGAGAAACGTTAACACCTCGGCCCCTATTAGTGTCTCGCATTGGTCATTTCACGCATCTCCTTACTACTGAAATCGGCCCATTTCAGGGCCTCGATTCCTCCTCCATGCTTGCCCTCATTCCTACTGATTCGCTCATGGCTCCTATCCCGGTCTACAGCTGTACCACCTTTCTACCCATCTCAGCTTACTCTTCTACCTTGAAGATGGAGGCAGCATGTCTCTCTCAAATATCACTAAACTTCTACTTACTCACTCACGGAGCTGAGCCCTGCTGGAGGAGCCGCCAATTCTGCAGCTACTCAAGAATTTCCCAGCATTTTATGGAACCCGAAGGTTCATTACCTTGTTCACAAGAGCCCTCCACTGGTCCCTATCCTGAGCCAGATCAATCCAATCTATACCATCCCACCCTATCTCTCTAAGATCAATTTTAATATTGTCCACCCACCTACGCCTTGGTCTTCCCAGTGGTCTCTCTCCTTCCGGCTTTCCCACCAATACCTTATATGCATTCCTCGTCACTAAACTTCTAACAAGTACAAAAGTCACATACTACAAGAATTTGTTCTTCAACTGGACTGAATTGTTTTCATGGGTTACTTAACGGCTCTGTCAATATCTAAACTACACAGTGTCGGATGTAAACTAGAAATTATTTGCAAGGAAGCAGTCACGGCCTAACCGAGGTACTATGACAGAATTTTTGCCTGAAGGACTCAAAGAATATCAAGACATATCTCAGTCAGGACAGCCGGTGTCCCAGTCGATATTCTAACCCCTGAATGTGTTGATTTCTTGAAAGAACTAGGATATTGGTATAGCAGGTTTCCATTTGTATTATCCCGTTCAATAATTCCTTCCCAAGGCGACTGTTATTTCCTGGATGTACAATATTTCACTTGGCATCAGTAAAGCCAAAAGAACATTCCAGTGCAATATTAGGAACATATAATGATACTGACATAATTAACTCCACGAAGCAGAGCTCTTATTGAGAATTTAGTAATTTCTGGTAATCAATCCTTACTACATCTTCGTTCGATAGGTATATTTTCAACAGACTTGTTGC